TTTAAAATGGACATTACTAAACTCCGATTGTTTTTTTTATTGAAAGAATTAAATTTTTCAAGAAATTGTTCTAATATGGTTAAAGCTCGTTTGTAAAATGCTAAAATTCCTTACTAAATTAGAAAATAGCAAAACGCAAAATGACTAAAAAACTTTGTGGTCTCAAATTAGATTTAAAAATTCCAACTTTTAAATGGTATGCAAATAAGTGAGCATATGCAAACTAGATGTAATTAAAATCTAACAATTTGGAATAAATGAACACCGAACCACGAGAACCTAGCCACTGCCAGAAGTGGTTTATGCACCGTCAAATGGAGCTGGTATCAGTGTTAAATTTCGACATCCACCGCAGCCTATTTATAAACATTTACCCCAATTTAACGCACATCCTGCGAGGCGCGGAGGGTCATATGTGCGTGGCATGGGATGGCTATTGGCATTTTGGCCAGGGGCTGAACATCCGCTTGTGGCGGACCACAAACGCTGCGGCTACTTGGTAGGCACGCGAATTTCGGCCACGCCCATGGCTTAACCACTGGATTGTCTTTGTTGCCGGTTGGGGTCATCGAAAACCAAAAAAAAAAAAACAATAATAATAAAAATGAGGAAAATACGAAAATGTCAATGACCACGGGCAATCACATTTATCAGACCATCAAAACCATCATTTTCACAGGCAGGCTCCAGGCAGCCTGCTGTTTGTTTCGTAATTAAAAGTGGGGTAATCCGGTAGAAAAAAGGGGTTTATATGTCAGTTAAATCAGTTCAGCGTGCTTGAAAAGTTAATACAAAGAAATATTTACGTCGCACACTGACGGTCATAAATATACTCCCGCCATCGCTTAATACTGTTCAATCTCTCTTGTTCTCTTGCATCTATAGCTATTTTTTCAGATCATATTAAATTTTAACCACCTTAAATGGTGTAATTTATTAAGAACTTATCTCTTTGAGTATCTTACATAGTTCTATCGGAACTTCTGGTGGTTGCAAAAAGACAATCATCGCATTAAAAGCAGCCAAATAAGTTGCACAATTGCAAACAACAATAGAGGCTGCAAGTTTTGTGTGCTCTGGGCACTATGAAAATTCAATTACTTTATTTTGCTGTATCCCCATCCGATTTTCACCACCCGCCCATATGTTTGTTCGCCATGTGGAGGCCACAAGACAAACACACCAACACCGCTCACCACCCATCCACTTCCGCCCATCAGGCAAACACACACAAACGCGATGCACCTGTCAGTTACTCTAAACACCCAACATTTCCAACCTCCTTTTTTTGCTACACTCTCGCGAAATTACATAGAAATTTCCACCCGCTGCCGAAAAAGAAATGGCAAAGAGAGAGCATTTCAAAAAAAGGCTAAAATGGGAAAAGGAGGAGAAAACCCCTTCTCTGGCCCATTTCGCAACTTGTGCCCATTGCACACATTTGCGGCTCTTCGCATGAGCGCGCAACTTTACTTGCCAAAAACTCCCAAGAACACACCGAATTTTTTGCCAGTCTCGTTTTTTTTGCCTAACCCTCCTTTTGGTCTATTTCTATGCTTGGTTGCTTTTAGCCGGATTTTTTGTTTTCCCAGGTTATCTGCGAGCTGAAGTGCGAATGAGTAGGGCAGGACAGCTGTTGGAGATGGCTGCGTGAGTAAAAGTTTATTATATCCATAATGTTAGTAAAATATCATTTTCTAGGAACATATAAACAAGAAGTATAGGAGATCCGGTATATTTTTGGAAGCTTGTTAAAAATTAAGCTTTCTCTCCAAAATGTTTTTGAATTCTTCTGATATGAATTTGGTTTGTAATTTTTCACATATTATTTACAAATTAAAATAAATTATTTAAAAGTAGTAGTTCCACTTCCATCCCTAATTGGGGATTAGTTGTGAGTCCTGTATGTCCCTTTTCGCTTCATGTCTGCGGGTTTTCGGCAAGACAAATGCATTTGTGAGCATAGGCAGGAAACAGGGGCTGGGGCGAAGGAGAGTTGTAGCTCGCTAACTGGCTTCTGTCGGTGCTTTTTAGCTTTTAGTTAAATAAAACTCGATGCTACCGCCTTATATAACAGTAGACTTGCTATTTGCCAAAGTTTTTGGCACTTGGACTGATTGGTAACATATCGGACCTAAAAAGAAACGGTGGCCGAGACAGATATTTGAAAATCGATTCGATTTGATGGAGGATGGAGAATTGGCTTTACTAATTGCATTTGGACGGTGCAAGCTTTTACAGCTTGCGATGCCATTTTGAGATTGACACATCGCTCCGACGGACTTATCGCTAATGCCATGTTTTTGGTTCATGGCCTTTTCTATTTACTGATGCTCTTGGAGGTGCACACTAAAGGTATTAGTAAGTAAACTAATTAATAAATATATTGGCATTATCCTAACGCCTCCAAAATCAAAGTAAATTAAAACGTTTTGATCTCAGCACAAGATAAGGATATTTACAACTGTCCAATTCAAACTATCGATACGCTGCACTTTTTCTGTTTAATGCTAATAGAGTAACTAATCAAATATTTGTATCTTAAAAATATCCCTTATTTAGGCGTTTGCAAAAAACGCTTCAGCATTGATTGCCCACTGCGAAAAGTTAAATGGTTTTATCATCCAAAAGCTAATTTTTGCGTGCAAAGACTTACTTGCGGAGGTGGTTTTGACTATCGATCGGACTGCCAGCGCACATGCCATACCGTCCCGAAAAACAGGGGCATCGAGTCCGCAAAAAGCCTTTCAGAAATATTTAAGATATTGGAAATATTTAAGGAAAAACAAAGGCTGAAAAAGATAAGGACAACAAAATCCCCTTGGGCTATTCACAAGACTACTCCTACGACCACTCCTACGAGAACTGTGGAGCCCTTCCCGGAACCCACTCCGAAACCCACTCCAAAGCCTACACCCAAGCGCACCACCCGTAAGAAGATAATAATAAGAACAACGGGATTACCTGTAACATTACCAGGTAGTGCAGAGGTTTTCCTTACTACGAAAACCAAACTTAATAAGCCTCCGAAACCGAAAAAAACCACACAAGGGGTTGAATTTGATGACGATGAGACTACATTGAATGGACATAACAAAGATATGCCTGACTTTAAAGAAAATGATTATGAAAAGAAATTCGATTATCATGTGAACAGATTACATTGAACAAAATTAAAAATTGTTAATATGGGATTTATGAAAAATAAATAACGTGCCTATGCCGTTTTCGTTTAATATTTCATGTGCCCTCTTGTCTTAATTGTATAAGGTGTGTATTAGCCACATTATTAGCTAAAGTTAAAATAGTTTCATCTTGTAAATATATTTAATATATTACTAATCATAAATAGTTACAGTTCCCAGCAATTTAGCTAATCAGTTGCTTTCAAACTGTTTTGCATACAAAGAAAGGGAAGGCCAGAAAGTGAGTTCTTCTCTTGTTTTGAAGAGACACAAAACTTAATTATGAAGCATTTATAGCGTGAAATAAACCTCCTGTTGCCTCTCAGGATAATTACGGGACACGGAACAACAACAACAGCAACATTAAGGGGCAGAGGTAACAAAAAAATGTCACCCAACAACAACAACAAATAACCGCAACTACTTAGCAACATTATACACTTCCGTGCCAGCATCAGGATCTGAAAAACCCACCCAAAACGTAATTATTGTTGCGGTAAATGCCACACCCCCCAACTGCCACGCCCCCGCCCTAGACCAAACCGACCACAGACCAGGCTTTTTAATTTCTTTATACAAAAAAAAGAAAAAACAACAAGAGTGAGTGACTTGCAAATACCCTATTTAGGTATAAAATTCTATTCAAATCAGTCATAATTTAAAATGCGAAAATAAATTTTAATTTAAATAAAATTAAATTCTGTAAATGGGAAGTAAAATATCTGAAAATCAGCAAACTCATATACCCCGACTTGTAAGCGGTACTAAAAGAGAGTTGGAAAGACAAACGGACTGAGTGGGTGCTATAGAGAGAGCGCGAAAGAGAGGTGTATATGTCAGCGTGCCGCGAAAATTAATCCATTTGCTGTGACAATGACTTTTATGCGGTTTCCAGCAACGCGGCGTTGGCCGCCGCCATCCGGAATCGCCGGCCAGGAAGCGACCGGCCAGTTGGCAAAGTCAAGCCGCAGGCCGAATGCGGGTGGAACTTGGTGGTAATAGGCAAAGGAAAAGTCATGGAAAAAAAATCTCCTGGGCGGCTTCACAATGCTGCGACATGTAAATATTTGGCGACATTTATAAAAAATGTTTTCGGACAGCCCCGAGCTTCTCTTTTCGACCGAACGCGAAGCCTTATCAAAGCAATTATCTCTAAGATGCCTCGTCGTCAACCCGCCGACCCATTCCCTTTTACTAACACAGAAGTAACTAACAGTGGAGCAAAGTTTTTAGACATTAAAATTCTTCTTAAATTATTCTTAAGCAATAATAGAAAGTTCAATCTAAACAAGAATTATAAAGGAAAAGTGAAACATTTTTAATACGTTTGTAGGAATTAAAATGTTAGTATAGTTTCATCTTAACTCCCAACCACTGTTCATCGCTCTGACAATGACAGTGACCGTCGTCTGCTTTTGTGAATTGGACCCTCCGCTGGCGCTGCCTTTGTTTGATTTGGAACAGTAACGGAGACAAAGTACATAACATTTCTCTTGATTTGCTCTATCTCTTTCCCGGGCCACCATTTTTGCGGCGGATTTGGCAAATGCCGAAAATTGTCAAATGTTGCGGTCAATTTGTGGGGTCAAAGTGAAGTGAAGCGAGACGAGGTTATTTAATGTCGGTTGGGTGTGACTGGGAAACCCTAATCTTTCCTTTTCGGGAAAACCCGAACTACGCTTTAGTTGCGTTTCTAGTTAATCAAGGTGTTAAGCGAGGTGATTGAATTTAAGAAGGATTAAGAAAGTCAAGTAAGGCATTAGTGAAAACCTTTTTTATTCTTTAGCAAATATAATTTGAAAGTAAAAGTTCAAATTTAATAAAGACTTATCATGTTTATTGGCAGACTTAAGATTTATACAAGATCGTTTAAATTCTTTTCACTTAAAATATATAAGATTATTTACATGAGCGGTTGTTGTAAGTTTGAATCCACTTGGAATGGATCAACCGAAAATGTTTTGCTTGATGGCAGCCCAAACTCCCTGACCCCTCTTCGGGATCAACTCATTTTCAATTTCCTTGTGATATTGCTCTCGGAGCAGAGGATCAGTAGGTCCCCAGTTCTTCTTAGGCGTAAATGCCCCACGGATCTTGGCTCCCAGAGATTGACCTGGATCTCGAATAATGGCAACAATCATCCAAAGAGGCAGTTGCAGAATGCCAAATGCTGTTATCATCCAGCCAATGCCTAAAAATAAAGTAAAATCACAGATGATTTCTTTAAATTTATCTTAGAAAACTCACTGTATGCCCAGTTTGGGTAAATAATGTTGTTGTACGTCAAGGGTTCATATGTTGCATAAAAGTAAATCAAAATAACCGTCATGATTAGCGGGGTTAAGATGCTCCAGCAGAGTCTCCAATAGAGACCCACTTTGCGACCCAACATGAACTCAATATCTTTGCAAAGGCGATCTGTGCCATAAATCCAACCAATCGTGTAGAGCTCAGCAATTCCCAGCACAAGAGCAATCATTGAGGCGCCGAAGAAGTCCACCAAAGTAAGCATATATTGGCCGCCCTAAAGCACTCATAAATATTATAGAAAATACTTAAAAAAAATCGATTATAATATATGCTTATTACCGGAGTTATATACATCAGTCCGATGATAAAGCTGACTACCGCTATTAGCAGAGAACACTGCCACTGCTTGAAATTGGGAAACCGATCCCGAATGGCGGTCACCGAGCAGGAGGTCATGGCAATATTGGATCCAATGCCCAATACGAAGAGCATAAGGAAGAATAGAACGGAGAAGATCTGTGGCAACTGCTTGAACTTGGCAATGGCATCGGGGTAAGAGATGAAGGCCAATCCAGCACCTCCTTTAACCACAGAGCCAATGTCATCAGTTCCAATCTCATGGGCCAGATGTCCAAGGATTCCGAAAATCGTAAAACCCGCCAGTAGAGATGTCATAGTGTCCAAGCCGGTAACAATTGCCGCATCTCTATGCACATTATGTCCGAACTTGTTAAACGAGGAGTACATGATGATGTTTCCGAAACAAACGGAGAGGGAGTAGAAGCACTGTGTTACAGCTGCGTACCAGACCTTCGGATCCAGGATCTTTCCCCATTGCGGCTTGATAAAGTAGTAAATGCCATCTATGGAACCTGGTAGTGTTACAGCTCGTACCAAAAGCACACCCATGATGACGTATGGGAAGAGGGCCAGGAAGTAGGATGCCTTTCCCGAACTCTTAACTCCGCGGCGGATAATAAAGAAGACACAGGCCCAGGCGACGAAGAGCCCGAGGACCAGCTCCCAGTTGGGTAGGCCAATTCCATCTTCGATATTTGGTTTCTCGTGCAGAACTTCCTTACTAGATGGGGAAATATATATAGTTAGCCAATATATCTCTGAGATAAGACCACCACCAATTGACAACAGTTAGACAAAACCATCACCCATTTCATTCTCATACGGCTATGACATTTTCTGTAAAGTTAACTAAGTGACTACTTAGGAATTTTAAAGATTTTATGCTAAGATTTAATGAGAAAAACCATAGAAAAACCTCAATATTTCTGATTCTATTACGTGAAAACCCGACATTAGTCATAAAGGCAGTCAGCTAGTGCATTTCCCAGAAAGCGTCACAGCCGCAGCACTTAGCACTTACACAAAGTACCATTCCGAACTGGTGATGACCCGATCGTTTTGTGAATTCATTGTGTAATTTTGGGGGCGCTGATCATCGCTATCCACTTGGGACCAATTACCCGCTTCGGGGGCTGAGTTAATGCAATGGCTACCCCATTCCGCTCGGCATGTGGCCCAGGGCAATGGGTTTCGGAATGATTCAATGAAATATCGGCCAATTATCGCTACCAGAGCGGCATAGTAAGTGCTGAGCATGAACACCTGGAACGCCTGGCCGGCTCCAACACCTTTTTTCCATTCGATTACAAACGAGTTACGGAAAGAAAGAGTTTAAACACAAATCAAATGAGATAGAAAAGAGTTATGGGAGAGCATTTTGATTAATTAGGGTGTGAATTTTCGATGACTAAGATAGAGAATCTTAATACATAATTCGGTTAATAGCGTTTGGGGTGTGGTTGCTTGGGGATACTCTTCGGTTGAGGGTAGTTAAACAAATTAATATTATTTGGAATTGATTTAATCACTATGATATGTTTGGTTGAGTAAATTTTAAGACTTTTAAGAAATAATGTTACTGGCAAGAGTAACTAAAGACTCTAATGTCCTTAAGTAGAGTTATCGAAATAAAATTAAATGTTATACCTGAAGAGTTAGTAATGACATTTAATGTTGATACTTTTCTACTATATGTTATTTGTGTGTTTATTTCTGTCGTTGAAGCTATCTCTGTTAGAGAAGTATTTAATAAGTAGAAGTAAAAAGTATTTATCGCGACTCTCGCGAGACTAAAGAAAACCAAGTTTAAGGGTAGTGAAAATGAAATTTTTGCATTTCGATAATAACACATAATTCAAGTTTAGGTCAAGGCCATACTTTGTTGTGATTGAGTGATTCAAACTGTTCGGAATACCGCCCCTTTACAAATTGGATGCAAGTATTGACGTTGTCAATTGTACTGCAAGTAGATGGAATCACTTTCTGTTTGGCTGTTGCAATCGCAACGCTCTATTGCAGAGCCATTGGCCCACAATTGATGGTAATAGGCGCCATAATTGCCGGCAGAGGGATGCGGTTACTCATTCAATTAGTCGCGTAATAAAGCGGACATTCCGCGCCTTTGTTCGCCTGGCCATAAACTTGAGTATGCCGCTGTGATTTCGAGTTCCGAGCATCGCGATAAGATTACCCACAGTGCACAAACACCCACACATTTTACCACTACCGAAAAACATGCCGCTGCAACACCACCAACCAACCAATCCACAATAACACAGGGCCCCGGGGCAACAACAACCACAGAAAGAGAACAAACCACTTACAGAAAATACAACTCGGCGGATGCCACCGGCTGCTGCTGGAGCAACTTTTCCATGTCCACCGGGCTGACCAACTGGGAGGTGTTTCCCAGACTGGACGCCACGCAGGAGGACTGCCACTCTGGCCGGCACTCGGACCATGGCAACGGTGACCGGAACGAATCGTACAGATAGCGCAGGGTTATGCCCATTATGGCCACATAGTAGGTGGTCACCATGGATATAGATATCACCTGGCCGATTCCGACACCTATAGTTGTGGTCGCGTATTTGGGACAGGCAGGCGAGTTGATGAACAAAATGACGATGTACTTTCTGCAGCTCGTTGTTGCCATGCTCTTGATTGTAAGAGGTTGTTTGATTTTTGAAGAAAACTTTAAATATTTTCACAAATTGGTTTTTAACTTAACTTATATTTTCACTTTTAAAGGTTACTTTACTTTAAAAACTTGAATTGGAATTTGTAGATTACCTCACAAGAGTATGACAACTTCGAACTGACATAAATGAAATCTGTAACGCTCTTACCTTTCATGGCCGGGCACAAATCGAATACCTTTACCGAGCCGCGACTGGAAAACTGGCCAATTACCATTTCCAGATAGTAAATCGGTTTGCCAATCAGGAACAGGACAATGAGATATGGAATAAGGAAGGCGCCACCGCCATTATCGAGGGCAGTGAAGGGGAATCGCCACACGTTTCCCAGGCCAACGGACATGGCAATGCAGGACATTAGGAACTCCACGCCCTTGCCCCAGGTGGCACGCTCCTCGGGCAATTTCCCTGCCTCCTGGTCATCGGAATTATCTCGCAGGGCAGGATTGTTGGCCTATGGAACGATGATTAGTTGACTCATGGATTATGTGGCTACCATTTCATACCGAAATCTCCACTGTACTGGCCGTACTGCGTCCATCGTCGCCCACAAAGGCTGGATTTAGGTGGTTCCTATTCGACGATTCCATATTGTCAAAGAAAATCCAACTGAAATTATTCGCTCTGTTAGTATCGAGTTGTGGTCTAGAACTAAGTGGGCACTTTTCGGGATGTTCTTTGTTGGAGCCGTATAACTGACAATCAGACTAAACCCACTGATCTTGGAGATAAGAAATGATGTCACTGTCACGAGCCAGATAAACTTAGATGTTTAGACAGATACAAAGAGAGAGGGTCGCTGCATTGCCCTTTAGATACTGAAATTATGGCACTTGTCTGGCCTTGATAAGAGGAATTTTAATGTTTTAATCCACTGGAAAATTTGCAAAAGAATTCTTTAAATTCAACATTTAAACAATGTTCTGAACTTATTCTTGTTGATATATAATGTCATGTAGCTATACTTTTATTCAAATAAAAGTCCAACAAAATATGCAAATTTGTATAATAAATAACTTTCGTTGCTCGAGTTTGTACAATTATTTGAATGAACTAAAGATAAAGACTTTTATTTGCTGAATCACTTAAACAATTTACACCTCGTTGGATTTACTGTGGCAAACTGTTAATTGGTGTGGGTGATAAAACTGGTAAGCCCGTGAGTGATATATAAATTTATATTTTATATTTGTTTGGCTACATTTGTATGCACAGAAAATATATAGGTAGCTATGTTTGAACTGGCCAACCGGTTGACATGAGAGCGAAATATTGACACGTCTCGTTTGCATTTATTTACAATTATTAATTTGCCGTAAAGGGGCACGTTTTTCGATCGCACTTTGTCTTGCCAATTAAATTTGTTTTGATTGTCTAAGACAATGCTATTTAACTTTCTAGGAAATTTCCTTTAGTACTTTGTGTTTTTCTTGTAATTAATGAAAAACTTTATTTCCATATAAATATAAAAGTTTTCAATTACTTAAAAGTTATTCTTTCAATTACTATCTGCTAAATTGCAAATAAAAATGTATTGAAGACAATAACATATACATATGTGATGAAGTGTTTGGTTGAGATAGCAGAATGTTTATGACTCAGAATACATTTTATAATTGGCAGCAGTTAGAAAAGATTGCTATAAGAGTTACATCGTACTGCAATAAAGATACAAAAAGTTACACCTTAGTAATAAGAATAATCAGGATAGATAACTTTCTTAGAAACTATAACATAATCGAAAACTTAGAAATGAGTTGATAATAAGTCTCCCAGACACACTCTTCAGCCTCTATAATATATTGAATATTTTTCTTAAAGTCTTCTCTCTGAGTACCTGGAATAATTATTTATGATTGACGTCTAAATCCGCAATAAAACATTTGCATTTATTTTATTTTTTGTTTTGCTCATTATCAAACTGGTTTTTGATTCTGCTTAAATATATTTCGATCTTAATGGCTGAGGCTGAGACAAAAAGTGATTTCCCCCGCCAGATGAGTCATGGCACTCAGAACTCTATTCTTTTGCTTTTATTTGACTTCTTTGGAAAAAATATAGAGAATGGCAGACGTGACGTCATTATAGTGGTGGTTATAAGCAGTTAAGTCTGGTTTCATCTTAACTTACACGATGTTGGGATAAGCCAAAAAGGTGTAAAGGAAATGATTATTTTGCTCTAATCAAATTATTATTTCATTTTATTTATCATTTTCCTGCATAGCAAGTCGTTTTACGCCCATATTCAAATGGATGATGGCATAAAACAAATTCAGATTTACTCAGTTTGGATCCCAAACACTTCAATCGACTACCGTCAGGGCATTAGTATGCAAAAACGTGTTTTTATATGGCCAACTTGTTGCGCTCACTGCCAAAACAAACGGTCGGTAACGATCGATAGACGAATCACCATTAAATATGTATGCATTCAGTGTTATGATTTTGTTACCCACGTTGCGTATACGTCATTATTGACATAGTGGTAACGGTGGAAAAGGTCAAACAAAATTGTACAAATTGTTATGCGCCTATGATGTTATGTTAAGACGATGCAACATATGAGCTAAAAAAGTTGCAATACATGAATATAAGCAGGAAATTTATAGTTAATTAAAAATAAAAGATTAAAGACACAAACAAACACGTTAAAAATAACGATAGTTATATCTTCTGTTAATCAAATTGAATTTAATATATGTAAACTCGAAATAAGTTATTTTTGTATAGATCTTCAGCTTTATAGACACGGCTGGCACAGCTTAATTTGCATGTTCACAACTTCCTTGAGCTGATTTATGGTGTCTTACCTGGTTTTGTTTCAGCTCTTCTTATACTCGATATTCTTCGTACGCTATGGGCTTTAACACCTTCACTTCGGTTCACTTCACTAGGCGACAATTGAGCTTATGCTGATTTGCAGGTGTTTTTTGTTTTCTGTTTTGTTTTCAGTTAGTTGTCGTTGATGTAGGTAAGGTACCTGTACCCAGGCGGCTTGAACCGCTTCGAACCGGCTGCAGTTTATACTTGTTTAATTAAAACTCTTTGCCCAAAACCAAGGCTGAATGCTCAACAAATGTAAAAAGTAATTCTTGTTTAAATACAATTGTTTTGGGAACAATACGATTTTTAGTGTTGGACATCTGCAGACACGAGATTTTGGAAAAGCTTCCGAGCTGAGAGGGTCGCATCCGAGAAACCCGTTATTATTGCAAGAGCCTTTTTGCCGCGAAACGCGTTTCCCGATCATGTGAGCCAAAAAACCAAGCCGAGTGCCAGCAGCCAACTGAATGAGCCAGGGCAAGGTTTCGATGGTTTTATTGTGAACTTGACTCTAGAGCCGTCGCTGTTTCAGCCATCGTTAGTGCCAGTAATATAGGTGAAAGCTTAACCTACAGTTTGATGAGTATTGGGTTCGGGTCTTTGTCGACTGATCAAGACGATATTTTGGTGGTTGACTTTGCTAAAGGTAAAATTTTCGTGAGGTTCATGTCTTGGTTAATGAAAAAATATATGATATTCGATCAGTTTCTATCTTAAAACACTTAAACAATATTTCTAATTAATGGGTATACATTTTTATATTTCGTATTATTGATTTTATTTATTTTTATTTATTTCAACTTTTTAAGGCACTTTCAATGCTAGATCTCAAATTACTGGCTTTAAGCGCCGGACTCCAGCTTTCTTTTAGCCCTGGGCTATGCACTTACACTTTTCTCATTACACACACCAAATACACACATACAGCCATTGTTCTTATTTGGGCAGTGGAAGCACAAGGAGCAGTAGCAGCAGCTAAGCAAAACAACACAAATTGTTATGATAAAAGTTTTTATCAAGTTTCGCTTCGTTTTTGTATGTCGTCATCGTCTTGGTCTTGGTCTTAGTCTGGCTATGCCATGCCGTTGATTTCCCCCATAAGATAGGAGAAGCGCCGGAGAGCAAGTAAGTTCTTCGTTGGCTAGCTGAGAAATGCATAAAACAAAGCCCCCAGGGGAATTTCGGTCGAAGTGAAGGTGGTGTATGGGGTGGTTTGTCTCATAAAATGTTAACTACTTGCAAAAATACTGCTAACTGGTAAAACTTTAAGCCAAAAATCATTAAGTCTGCAAAGAGCATTTTGCCGATGTGCTAGAGACCGAGACGATGGACCAAGGGTTCGGGGTTTACTGAGAAGTTAGCTTGTTTTATGCTAGAAAATTGGTTGCATGGCCATTTTGCGGTTCACTCTGAGCCACTGTGGAATTTTCCACACACCCTTCTCGAATGCAACATCCAGTGTTCTTCTCCTATTGCCATCTCACTGGGTGTCGGTTTTTGTCATTATGACTGGGACCTTGGGGGTGACAAAACTGGACCAACTGGCCAAACAGTCCACTCCTTGGAGCCCAACCAAATGGACGTCGCTATGTGTGATCTACCGCCCTTCATCTTTTCCTCTCTCACCCTTTCTCTCGGGTATACAACTTTTTAATTGCAATTAAAAACTAAGCAAAAGTCTTGGCTAAGAAATTGTTAAGTCTCTGGCTTAGTTGCTGCTGAACTTGTTGTTGTTGCTACCAAATTAAATGACGGTAGCTGAGACCGAAAAACTTACAGATTGCTATTTTTACTTTAACTATAATTTAAATATTGCAACACCACAAAAAGTTTCTGTCAAGAGGTAAGGGTTTAAAGTTTCCCAGTGGACATTGGCATTGGTGATAAAAGGTTTCGCCAAGGAAAGACTGAATATAATGACAAATTAAAGCTTACAAATTTGTAAATTTAATTCAAAAAGCAAAGAACTAATCAAGTCACAGTAAATATGATTTACGAAGGTTTAAAAATAAAAATCAACTAAAATAGGTTTAATTAAGGTAGCACTCGTTCTTTCTCAGTTGCCTTATTACAAAGTATGATATAACATAACACCATAATTTAATTACAGCTAACGGAGATCCCATTGTGGTAAGCGTTTATCCTTCCAAAAAAGAAGTGCGAAACTTTCGTTTATAATTTTTTCACCACTTCTGAATGCATTTCCTCTGAACTTGCTGTCTGAACTGTGTAACTTTCTTTTGGCAGCAGAATCTGCAAAGTCCAGGATATCCATGTCCAACCGCCTCAAAGGCTCCTTTGGCTTTTGTGGCCAAGTCAGAAATCATTTCAGTCTGTGCCCAATCTCCCTCTATCTCCGACTCAACCAACTCCCGGCTACTCACATGTTATGTGCAAGGTAATCTCCTTTATTACTGCGGCAACTTTGGCTGAGAGAAGGACGAGGTGCTCGGGAAGGGGCGTCGGGGCATAAAACAGGATTTCCAGATGCTCCTCCGGACTCCTCGCCGTCATTTTCGTTTACAACTTTTGCATAACAGCCAATGGGACAAACTGTGAGCATTACCCAAATGTTTATTTGCGGGCTCAAAAAGCCACGGAACCATAAAACAAAGTTTTCCTCAAATTATATATTGGACAAATCCCATAAATGTCCCAAGCCGAGCGCTAATTGAAAATGATTCTGGGCCACTTATTTTTGTAGTTCATTTTCGGGGTCGCATTAAAAGTAAATAGCTGAATAAAGGAAATGGCTTAATTTGCTTGTTAAATTGTCAATGTTATAGTAACTTTCAACTGACAGAAAAGTTCCATCATCAAACTGTATTAATCATATGCATTTTTTTAATATTCTCTTTAAAACATTTTAAATTCCTGTTTTTAATATACTTTTTCGTTCCTACTCTTATTGCATTATTTTTCACACATATTTTTTTTGTTCTTTTCAATTGGCTTTTGTTTCTTTTCCATTTTACCGTACGGCTTTAGAATTATAAATCATTTATAATTTCTATTCATCACAAAAGCATACTTAATATTGTAATAATTTAAAATTCTGCATCTTAAAAAATTAAAGAATATTTTTTTAACTGGGCGCCGATGATCAGCCCATCACTTTGCCTATGTACTATACTGAATGATTGATTAATCGAGACCACAGGATACATAAATGAAATTAAATTTCAATAAAGAAAGTCTAAAGAGAAATAAAATCACTGCTTAGACACCAAAAACGAGCTTGGAAAAGAAAAAAAATTTTAGAGCATAATAAGCACTGCATCAAAAGTGCCCGCGGCTTTTGGAGGACCAGCAAAAGTGGCAGGAGGAGATGCAGCAGAAAGCCGCTATTTTTCTGGCTTGTTTGACAATTGTTGCGGTTGGTGCATGGAGCATGGAACTCGGAACATGGCCGCCATTCATCGTCCGTTCGTGCGGAGCGCCATCCGGAAGCAGCACCAGATGCTGAACGTGACCATGACAACGATTCCACTCGTACACTGTTCAAAAGGATTTAAAACATTGGAAATACTTTAATATTAGTTAACCGTTTTGGGAATGTAATCATCTTCGAGCATATATTATTACTCATACGCAGTGTTGTCGTTTTAGTATTTCTTTTTAATTTTAGAAGAGAAGTCATTTGGTTGAGTAAAAGATTTCTAATCTGTTTTTATATTTCTTAATGCCTTCCATATCTTTGGTACTTCGTTAGTAATCAATTTCATTTCAGTAACAATCCCCGAACGATTGAAAATTCCCCAAGTGCAGCTTTGAATGGGAACCAGAGCCGTCGCACCACTAATGCTGTGCAAGTTGTTATAGCTGTTGTTCGACTCAAAGAGGCATGCAACGTAAGTTGTTATAGTTAGCTGACTCTTGTGGTGCGTGCAGTTCGCAAGTTTGCCGCTGCGAATTGGGAGTTCCTCAAATTCTCGGACAACGTTCCTGTCAAACGAATTGGTTCCACGAGGAGTGCGATTTCTCAGCTGAAAGTGTGCGTTCGCCTTTCGGGGTATACACACCCATAATTTCCCTCTTCCTTTAACACCATCAATCGCAATTCACCGAAACTTGAAAGGATTCCCTAAGGACAAAGGAATGTTTTTTTACTTTGCTTTTTTTTCGACTGCTTCCTTTTTAAGGCTCCTTTTCGTTTAATTGTTTTCGGCACGTTGAGTGTGAAAATGGAAATGTGTCTGGAAGGCGTTCAAGTTGTCAAGGGTTAAGAAGCTGGGCGAAATCCGAGCTCGCTTCGATGCATCGCCAGACTTTTGTCTTCTGCTGCCTTTGATGGGGCGCGCCTAATTAGCAACGGGCCGAAACAAATTGCTTGTTAATTAAATAACGTCAAAACATGAAAAGGATTTCGCCTTTTTGTCGTTTCTTTCACGCAAACTGATTCAAGTGGCATCGAACCCATTGACAGGCACTCAAGTCTCTAGTGGAAAGGGAATAAAATCATTTTGAAGCTGGCTAAGCGATGGGGAATCCGTCTTGAGTTTCATTTATTCGCCGGTAATGGGAAAATTGGGAAAAAGGTAAGGCACTCTTTTAGCTATATTTATTTTTAAGAATATTTGATGCATGGCAAAGGAGCCGGAAGATGCTTACTGCTCAGTAGCCATAAAAAATTAAAGGTTTTTTATAAGCATGCTAGTAAAATTTTTAATTATTTCAATATAATTTCAATATATAATTTAAATGATATAAGAACAAATATACTAAAATTAATGTTAGTACACAATTAAAGTATACGCCGTGTGCATTTTTCTTGAATTGATCTCCTTAATGTACAATTTTTTGAAATAGTCTTAAAATAGGGATATAAAGAGACTCGACTTAATCGTTCCTAATTACATTTCCACCAAGTCGAACTGAAAACTTGTGCCACTTAACTGGAAAAGACACCAACGTCTGCATTTGAGTGACCAACTTCCGTTGCCCCTTTTTGAAGTTAGAACTGCGAACCAATAAACTGCAATGCCTGGAAGCCCGCCTGCAAAAGTGGCTTTCGAATATGCGGCATCGAGTGGCTTGGTGTTTTGTCCGTGCTGCGATGGCGACTGCAATTTTATGTCAGCTGCAGTGCAATATGCAAAAGGAGGCGGTGCCCCAAAATTTCGTAAGCGTCCATTGTCGCGGGTCATTAGAGACACGCGATGCCTGCAACTAGTGCGAGGACATCGTGGCATCGAAACCGAAAAGGGTCTGGCTGCCAGAGGGTTAAACAGCCAAAGGCGAGCAAAATGCGAAAAGCAAACCACAATTGATGGTCTGGAAAATGCGTTGGACAAAGCTGAAGTTAGGGGAAACCAATTGTGGCCGACAGTCGCCCATCATTTGTAGTTTTAAGTGCCCAAAACTAAAATAAGGTATAAATGGCATTAATTATTGTCTTTCGGACATAGATACCCTTCTTTTAAATTATAAAAAGTACTAACATTCTATAT